CAGACACATTCATCACCTTCAAAACTACCATTAGAAAACATCTTACCTCCCTGATACACCCCGTCAACTAATTACACGAATACCACCTGGTGGTTCACACTTACACTCACTCACCAATTTGACCATAAACAGAAATATCAATCTCAATCTTAAAATAATGAATCCTAACTAGTCATAAGTTGGCCTGTGATACTCCAATACTGAAACTATGTATAGTGCCAACACAAAAGCATTCACATTGCTAAATTCACAAACTAGTATTTAGTCACTTAGCCATAATACCAACTTACCTCATAATTTGTAATATTTTAAATTTAAGAATTAATCTAAGTCTGCCCGAAATGCCTAGCCATGCTAGATGCTCTAGTGGTACCATCTGTACTTATTATTTTACTACATGTAAACCACACAATAACCAAATTCTGTAAACTCAGCATTGTAATCCTTATATTGGATCAAACTTGACTACCTTCCATACCGCATAATCTCAACGAGTCTACCGTTTCTTTATATATACCATAACACAGATGGGTATCGTTCGCTGTGCGATCCGAGAAAGCTTGCCCCATATCCCATAAGCTCAGCCTCCCGTTACTTCAGTGGTTGCAAAAGAATTACAAAGTGCATATATGTATTCCTAATACAGAATATACCGTAGATCAAGCATAAAAGACCACAAATGTATGAACAGTAAACTAAAATATTTCTTGGGTGAAAAGAATCATTTACAGGTGAATCGTAAATGAGGATCACCTTACTGAGAAATATATTCGGTTTAAGAAAGAAGTCAAAAAATAAATAAGAGAAGTCAGAAGAGGATATGAAATTAAGGTTATAATGGAATAAAAAATCAACCCAGAGGGTATCTTTCAGGTATATAGGAATATGATCTGGGAAAAGATGGATCCACTTACATGTAACTCAGGTCAGCTTATTGTTAGTGACAAATATGTGGGTACCATTATCAACGCATGTTTCTTGTGTTTTTACACGAGGATACAAAACGATCCCAGAAATCAGTAATTATAGTAGTCAGGAAGAAAATAAGTTATGCAAGATCAGCGTCACTAGTGACATAGTTCTCAGACAACTTGATAGATTGAAGCCTAACAACTCATCAGTCCCTGAGGAACTGCTTTCAAGGGTTTTAAGTGAATGTGAGGAACAGATCAATACCAGCAGGTACTGCACTAGAGGTGTGGAAAATGGCAAATGTGATACCCATTGATAAAGCGAGCAGGGCGCCTCTCCATGAGATACCCACGAGTTAAACGAGTGTGTCCGATGCGAAGACGAGAGAATTAGCAAAAACTCATTTAAATTAAAGTCCTTTATATATTTTTTTTCATTTATGTTAATGTAAAAATTAATAATTTTGTACCAAAAGAACCTTAGAGAACTTACCTAACATTATTATAACACGCAATTTAATTTAGCCTAATCCAACTAAATATATTTTAGATAAGTTTACAATAATTTAATAATAAACACAATGAAATATTTTTTTTTCGTTGGGTACTGAATGGTTTTTGCGAAATTATTACATGCACAATTTTTTTACATTAACATTAATGAAAAAAAAAATATTTTTAAATGTATAAGAAATTTTTTTAGAAAAGGACTTAATTTTAAGTGTTTTAGCTAACTGGCCAATTTTACCTATTCGGCACTCCCACCCCCCCACACTCACACCTGGCAAACCCGAGAATAGCGTTCCGATACCTGAATAAGGAGTCGTTCAAGACACTGTACACAATGTACGTCAAGCTCATACTGGAGTATTTAGTTTATTATGCACCCCATACCCATCCTGTGGGCGGTAGTCAAAAGATTACAGAGGTACATAATTGGTCCAGGGACTGGACTCCTAAGTTTTGATAGCTGAGCAAGTTGCAGAGGTAATGAACTCACAATTTACAAAGGTAATGAACTCACAATTTACAAAGGTAATGAACTCCAGGTAGGTCTAGTCACAATCATGACAAGTTACAAAGGTATTTACAGATTACAGAGGTACGTAATGGGCCCAGGGACTGGGCCCCAAAGTTTTGATAGCTGAACTAGGTACAAAGGTAATGAACTCACAAGTTACAAAGGTAATGAATCCTGTAAGAATGGTTACTTACGTTTATACATGGCTACAATCATGAACAAATTATAGAGTAATGAGCAATTCACACTTCCACACCCGGTCACAACTGTAATGAGTTATTGGTGCAAATATTGACTGTTGAGTCACACACAACACACACACACACACACACACACACACACACACACACACACACACACACACACACACACACACACACACACACATATATATATATATATATATATATATATATATATATATATATATATATATATAATGTCGTGCTGAATATGTAAAACTGGTCAATTAGCAAGAATTCATTTAAAATTAATTCCTTTCTGAAATTTTCTCTTATACGTTTAAAGATATATTTTTTTCATTAATGTTAATGTAAAAATTTATAATTTTGCACCAAAAGAATCTTAGAAAACTTACCTAGCCTTATTATAACAAGAGCAATTTATTTTAGCCTAACCCAACTAAATATATTTTAGATTTGTTTTCAGTAATTTAATATTAAACAAACACAGTGAAATATATTTTTTTCGTTAGGTTCAGAATGATTTTGGCGAAATTATTGCATATACAAATTTTCGCTTGTCTTATATGGCAAGATGAGCGTTGCTATTTAAGCCAAGATCGCAAGTTCTGCCTATTCGGCAGAACATATATATATATATATATATATATATATATATATATATATATATATATATATATATATATATATAATATATATATAATATATATATATATTTCAACAAGTTGGCCGTCTCCCACCGAGGCAGGGTGACCCAAAAAAGAAAGAAAATCCCCAAAAAGAAAATGCTTTCATCATCATTCAACACTTTCACCACACTCACACATTATCACTGTTTTTGCAGAGGTGCTCAGAATACAACAGTTTAGAAGCATACACATATAAAGATGCACAACATATCCCTCCAAACTGCCAATATCCCAAACCCCTCCTTTAAAGTGCAGGCATTGTACTTCCCATTTCCAGGACTCAAGTCCGACTATATGAAAATAACCGGTTTCCCTGAATCCCTTTACTAAATATTACCCTGCTCACACTCCAACAGATCGTCAGGTCCCAAGTATCATTCGTCTCCATTCACTCCTATCTAACATGCTCACGCACGCTTGCTGGAAGTCCAAGCCCTTAGCCCACAAAACCTCCTTTACCCCCTCTCTCCAACCCTTTCAAGGACGACCCCTACCTCGCCTTCCTTCCCCTATAGATTTATATGCTTTCCATGTCATTCTACTTTGATCCATTCTCTCTAAATGACCAAACCACCTCAACAACCCCTCTTCTGCCCTCTAATACTTTTATTAACTCCACACCTTTTCCTAATTTCCACACTCCGAATTTTCTGCATAATATTTACACCACACATTGCCCTTAGACAGGACATCTCCACTGCCTCCAACCGTCTCCTCGCTGCTGCATTTACCACCCAAGCTTCACATTCATATAAGAGTGTTGGTACTACTATATAGACAGCCTGTACTGTCAGAACACACAGCCTAGCCGTCTGCTCTGACTAGTTCATATTTCGCGGCATTTAGGTGCTGCCCTCTGTAGGCTCACCCAGGTCAGTGGGAGGCTCAGCCCAGCCGTTCTCACTCCTAGGCCGACCGTCTTGAAAGACACAAGTGCTCCCCCTCCACGGACTGGCTTGCGGTCACTCCCTCACACTGCCCGTTGTGTACTCACTCCTACTCAAAGCCAAACTAGTCCACGGCCGTATCATTGCTACCTAAGCATATACTTTCATACATTCCCTTCTTTGCCTCCATAGATAACGTTATATATATAATATATATATATATAATATATATATATATATATATATATATATATATATATATTATATATATATATATATATATATATATATAATATTATATATATTGTGTGCATGTGTGTGTGTGATTGTAAGGGGTAGTATATCACGTAATGGAGGACAAAATTTTATTTTGATAAGTGATGGTTGTAGGTGGTGCGGTCATAAACTGGTAACACTTGTAGGTATAAATATTGTGTACAAATGTTGCTGGAGTGAATGTAGACAGGTGGACGCTGTAATGAACCCAGCACTAACATATTACTTACACGTATATAGTTATAATATTGCCCATCAGCGGATTTTTCAAAGGGCGAAAATATTAACAGCATAAGATGTGTAAACAAGTTAGTATGAAGTGAAAATGGAGTTTTATATGTTGAGCAGCGGTGCCTGACGCCCGCCATTGCACGCTTCTTGATTCACAAAACTGAACCTTCCTTCCCTCATTCTCCTTAGATACAATCCAATTGCCTCACATTCCCCGAGACGCTGTATGACTTTGACGGGTTTAGCGTTCCACCATGAAATAAATAAAAATATTTACACATTCGAGATTATTTGCACGAATCAGGGGAAGCATTAAACCCGTAGGGGTCATATAGCAGTTGGGAACTGGAGGCAGTTTGGATTAATTCAAGGAAGGACAGGATAATTCCAGTTCTTTGGATCAGGTACAGGTAGGCTCGCCAGGACGGGTCCTGGCCCAATTCTTCTCCATGCGGTGACCCGACATCCTTGGATCAAGAGCCCCGAACCGGCATTTAAGAGTCTTGAGGGGATAACCTATGCTGTGACCCGCATGGGTTTGGCGAATTATTGTAAATATAAAATGAACTAAAATTTTATAGCCTCATTAATCAACACATTTTCTGGTCAGTGATATTATACCGATTTCTGGGTCGGTTTGGTGCTGATTCCCAATATGTTATCGGTTTTTCATGACTGGCTCTATCTAGTTTTTGATCAATTTGGTGTCCCATTGAAAAACATAAAAGATGTGAAAAATATATTGATCAGGCGGAGCTTATCTATAAATCTCATTGAAATTATTTTTTAGATCATCAAAAGTCAAATCATGTAATGCATACTAGCATTTCTTTCTATATAATAACAGATTAACAAAGTAAGATAATTCAGATACCACTAATTACTGTAATGAAAACGTTCTTTGTACGACTTTCTTCTATGTGGGTCATCAGAACAGTTTTGTTGAGTGAGCAGTTGAAAGAGATGCATATTGGTTACCATTGTGCAATAAGACACATTTCAAGTTTCTAATGGAGTTGTCTATAAATAGCCATCAATCTCCCGGTCGATATTGAAGTCTATTTCAAAGAAGTAGTCCAGGGATGTTACTGCAGTATACAAGTTCTTCATCTTGACTGACGTAAGGAAGGAGTTCAACCTCTCTTGTCCGATAAGCTGTTATTTCAGCTTCTTGTTGTAGACAGTTCTTTTCTTTTAATCTCGATACTAAAAGTTGAGATGCTTGCTTTGACAGACTGAGGTCACGTATCAAATAACCGAGTTCTTGTTGGGAGAACTTCTGGGATGATAAAGTGCTTACTTCATATTCACTTTCACTACTATCACCTGTGTTAAATCCTAAACTCCGAGTTTCTTCAACATCTGACAACAGAAAGTCAGGCAGTGTTGTAACACTGTTATGGGAATGTCTTTGCTGTGTAGCACAGGTCTCCTTGCTGACTCAAAATCAGGACATTCCCACTTCACATTCTTGTATCAACTGAAACCTTTCACATTCACCATACAGAAATAACAACCGTAGTGATGGCTTTTCGGCTCTTTCCACACCATAGGCACACCCAAGTTTAAACTTTTCCTTTGTCTATTTTTCCACTGTGGTAAGCGTTCTACACAGGTTTTTGCAAACCATAAAGGGAGCCCAAGACTTGTCTTGTTCTCCAAACGCCACTCCAAAATAAACAAGATAAGCTTGTTGTACAAAATCTGTGATTTTTTTCTCTGTTTTTGCAAAGAGTATCCGCCACAAATGTAGCAAAATGCATTGAGATTGTTTAGGCAGACTCTTCGTGAAGAACTCATGTTTATCTGGAGAAAATAACAAAATAAAGGTTACAATATTGTCACATAGTAGTTGTTGATACAACTTTCGTTAAATATTAAATAATTTAAAAATAAAATTGTAATGTTTATTAAAACCTTCTGTATATACAAATTGTCACTACATATACATATACATATACATATACACGCGTTATGGAGACCAACAGCTCATACACTACCTTCCTTGACCTTAAATCTGCTTTTGATATAGCCAACCGACATATAATCATTAGTGAACTTGCCAGAATTTATATTGGAGGATGGCTTCCTCGCTGGATTAAAGGCTACCTGTTCAACAGAAAGTCATGTGTGTTGTTCCAGGGACACAGAAGTGTAACTAAAGACTTTGAATTAGGAACCCCACAGGGAGGTGTGCTCAGTCCCACTCTATTCAATATTCTAATTAATGCTTTACTTAATGCTCTGCCTAGCCAACCCCATCATTATATGATTAGTTTTGCTGATGATATAATGATTCACACCACCGGATTCTCCAACACCCAAAACATCCTTAATCATGTACTAGTCTCGTGTCAGGACCTGGCGTTGATAATCTCTACTGATAAAACCAAGATACTCAACAGGCGTCCTCCTAGACAGAGAGGCGCCGTTCGCCAGATCCAGTTGCATGATGGGTCTCTTCTAGAATATGTAAGCAGATACAGGTATCAAGGCTTTGAGGTTGCACTACTTGGACCTGTTGTAACGAGACTTTGTCGCCAGTACAAAGAAAGGCTGAGAGTTGTGGCAGGTTTTCATTCCAGGTATGGTGCTAATGTTAAAATTGTGAAAATGATGTATCTTGCTTATATTAGATCATTGGTTGATTATGCTGCACCACTACTTGCTCTTGTGTCTGACTGGAAGCTTGATGGAGGGCTGGAAAAACTGTAGAACGAAGCAACGAAAATCATCGTAGGATGCCCTCGTACTGCCAAAATTTTAAATATGTGGAAAGAACTTGATATTTCAAGCATCAGAGATCGTGTTACTGAAAGAAATATCCTCATTGGGGTCAATATGCTTAGGTTAGCCCATTCAGACCCCTGCACAGAAGCCCTCCAAACTTTCCTCAGCACTGGTGAACATCCTTCCAGATGGATCGAAAAAACTGGAACCGACCTCCGCATGAACCAGCTACATGATCTATGTCAGGTGGCACTGCCCCGCTCCATGGGATATTACCCCATTCCAAACTACCATTCCTTCATTCCCCCCAAAAATTCTTCTTAAATCACAACCGAAGCTTCTCCTTGAAGCCAAACATGATGCCTTAAGCTGTATTGATAGCTTAGTCACACAGAACACTCTTACACGAATTATTTATGTTGATGGTTTTGTTCACCAGTCCACTGGTGCAGCTGGTAGTGCTGCTGTTGTCATACACTGGTGCAGCTGGTAGTGCTGCTGTTGTCATACACTGGTGCAGCTGGTAGTGCTGCTGTTGTCATACACTGGTGCAGCTGGTAGTGCTGCTGTTGTCATACACTGGTGCAGCTGGTAATGCTGCTGTTGTCATACACTGGTGCAGCTGGTAGTGCTGCTGTTGTCATACAGAGTGATGGCTTTCGTAAAGAAATTGGAGCACGTATCAATAACTGGGCCTCTACCCTTCAAACAGAACTGTTTGCCATACTCCTTGCATTCAAATGCGTCCGTGTATCTAAGGTTGACACTTTAATTGTAACTGATTCTCTGTCATCCATAAATGCTCTCAACTCATTAAGTATAAATTGTAGCATGCTTGTGTCAGAAGCCAGACACAGGTTTACCTGGAGAGAGTTCCGGGGGTCAACGCTCCCGCGGCCCGGTCTGTGACCAGGCCTCCTGGTGGATCAGAGCCTGATCAACCAGGCTGTTACTACTGGCTGCACGCAAACCACCGTACGAGCCACAGCCCGGCTGGTCAGGTACCGACTTTAGGTGCTTGTCCAGTGCCAGCTTGAAGACTGCTAGGGGTCTGTTGGTAATCCCCCTTATGTATGCTGGGAGGCAGTTGAACAGTCTCGGGCCCCTGACACTTATTGTATGATCTCTTAACGTGCTAGTGACACCCCTACTTTTCATTGGGGGGATGTTGCATCGTCTGCCAAGTCTTTTGCTTTCGTAGTGAGTGATTTTCGTGTGCAAGTTCGGTACTAGTCCCTCTAGGATTTTCCAGGTGTATATAATCATGTATCTCTCCCGCCTGCGTTCCAGGGAATACAGGTTCAGGAACCTCAAGCGCTCCCAGTAATTGAGGTGTTTTATCTCCGTTATGCGCGCCGTGAAGGTTCTCTGTACATTTTCTAGGTCAGCAATTTCACCTGCCTTGAAAGGTGCTGTTAGTGTGCAGCAATATTCCAGTAAGATTATGGACAGTTGAGTCAGAGTGCACATGATGTGGATTCCATCTCACATTGGTCTTCAGATGCATGATAGAACTGATAAATTGACTAAGCTGTATGCTTTCAAAGAGGGGGTAGATTACAATCTTGGCTTGTCAGTTAGCAGTTTGAGAACAATAATACGAAAAGAACTTCAATTGAACTTTATTGACTTAAGACTCAGGGAGAATGACACAAGTCAGTCCATCTATCATCATTCCATCATGCAGGAGGAGCCACATGTCTATGGTGCATCTAACAAAATAAGCAGACTCTTGGAGGTCACTACTGCCCGGCTCCGGCTGGGTTACAAGTATATTTGGGCAGGTTAAATCAACACCACCAGATGTAGACCAAACGAAATGTAAACTTTGCCAGATGGACTATTGTCACACCTTGCGTCATTATGTACTGGAGTGCGATAAAATTAATGAATTTAAAAACAACTCACTCAGAAATGTTCAAGAAATGGCAACATATTTTATCCAGTCTACCCTCAAGGGAGGTTCCTTGACACTGGTGAGGGGCTCTTGATCTAAGGAATTGGATCTGTGCTCCGGTTCCCTGAATTAAGCCTGAATACCCCCCACATGCGCTGTATAATATACGGGTTTAGCTCTCCCCCGTAATTATAATATAATAATTTTATCCACAGTGGTATATTATAAACCATTCTGGAAAAATACCCTGACTTTGCTCACTGTAAATAAAGCATTACTACGTGTGCTTGTGTATGTGAGTGTGTGTGTGTGTTTGTGTGCTCATTTATGTGTGTGTTTGTACTAACCTAATTGTGGTTGCAGGGGTCGAGACTCAGCTCCTGGCCCCGCCTCTTCACTGAACGCTACTAGGCCCTCTCTCTCTCCCTGCTCCATGAGCTTTATCATACCTCATCTTAAAGCTATGTATGGTTCCTGCCTCCACTACCTCACTTGCTACACTGTTCCACTTCCTGACAACTCTATGACTGAAGAAATACTTCCTAACATCCCTTTGACTCGTCTGAGTCTTCAGCTTCCAATTGTGACCACTTGTTTCTGTGTCCCACCCCTGGAACATCCTGTCTCTGTCCACCTTATCTATTCCACGCAGTATTTTGTATGTCGTTATCATGTCTCCCCTACCCCTTCTTTCCTCCAGTGTCGTCAGGCCGATTTCCCTCAACCTTTCTTCCTAGGACATTCCCCTGAGCTCCGGAACTAACCTCGTTGCAAACCTTTGCACTTTCTCTAATTTCTTGACGTGCTTGACCAGGTGCGGGTTCCAAACAGGTGCTGCATATTCCAGTATGGGCCTGACGTACACAGTGTACAGTGTCTTGAATGATTCCTTACTAAGGTGTCGGAAAGCTATTCTCAGGTTTGCCAGTTATATGGTTGATGTGTCCTTCTGGAGACGTGCTCGGTGTTATGCTCACCCCAAGATCTTTCTCCTTGAGTGAGGTTTGCAGTCTTTGGCCACCTAGCCTATACTCTTGTGGTTGGTAAAGGGTTGCACTGGAGCATTCATTCTCAACTTGTATTGCACATCAGTCATCTTCAAAGGGTAGTGTGCCTTCGTGCAGGTCACACCCCTTTTTATCCACTGAATTGCAACTACCCTCCTTTTCCTTGGATCAAAAGCCCTTAACCCTTAAACTGTCCAAGCAGATCTATGTTCATATTCGTAGTGCTTCAAAAGTAGATCTACCTTTTTTTACATATTTTCAAATATAACAAAAAAAAACGTAGATAAAAGTTTTTTACACGTTTTCAAATGTAAAAAAAGAAAAGATCTACTTTTTTTACATACTTTCAAATGTTGAAAAAACGTAGATCTACGTTTGGACAGTTTAAGGGTTAACTAGCATTAAAGTGCCCCCCCCCCATCCACTGAAAAAAACATATACGTAGATTGCAAAAGCCGTACTTTTCCTCCACTTACCTATCCAGATGCAATAAATAGATTCAGTAAGATAAAGTAGATAAATGAGGCAAGTACAGGCTACCTGGAGGGTATTCCGGGGATCAGCGCCCCCGCGGCCCGCTCCATCACCAGTCCTCCTGCACAAAGTGTTGAGTAATGGCGGTACCTGTGTGTAATAGCACTGAGATCTTAGTGGTACTTACCCATGGACGACTCGCGTATCATCACTGATAAGACTGAAGCCAAGTGTCCATGGCGGATGTTGACATACACAGCACACATGCGCATACACGTACACACATGCGCACGCACGTATACACATGCGCACGCACGTACGCACATGCGCACGCACATACACACATGGGCACGCTCACGCGTGTACGTGCAGTGCTAGCAGGTTGTGAATCTGGCATACAAGTTGAGGGGCGGAGCCTGGAGCTTGGAATCGATCCCTGTGTGTATACTTACACTCACACAGGCTCACCCCCTCCTCCTCCACTGGAGTTTTGAGGAGGAGAGGAATAAACAGGGATCTGGAGTAAAATGATTACATAAGAGTTGATGAATTTACTGTAACAAGTATCATTATATCAGTGGTATACAATATCGTTAAATTAATTGGTCAACTTGTCTGTATTGTATATCACTGATATAATAATCAAATAATAGGCACACTTAGAGGACCAGAGGTAGTGGATACCACACCAGGAGCAGGTAGGTGAGGCCCCATGAAGTAGACTGGGAAAATTGGGATCCACATGGGGGACTGGAAACATGGAGTTAGAAAAACAGGGTTGGTACCAACATGTCAAGGACACAACCAGAGAGAGAGAAGTGAAAGAGATGATGATGAACCAGCAAGGATGGACCTAGTATTCACCCTAAGCGAATCTGATGTAAGTGGAATAGAAGACCCTGGTTAAAAGACACAGTTGCAGAAATGAACTTCAAGACATTTTGCCCATGCACGGGCTTCTTCAGTCTTCATTGTCTGAAGGAGCTTGTCCACAGGCGAAATGTCTGAATGAAGTTCCTTTATGCAATTGTCTTTTTCACCATTTGTCACCGGGTCCTCTGTTGCTAGCGACCACACAGTACTGAGTTTCACCTATCTAGTGGAATTAATCATGGAGAGAAACCGAACATAGGAAAGGCAAAATCATATGTCTAATGAGGAAACTTCACAAGCATGAGAGAATTCCTGAATGGAGTGAGGTGGGAAAGGGAATTTGAAGGAATGACTGTGAATGAAATGATCAAGATTACAGCTAGAAAATTCTGGGAGGTAAAGAAGTTCATACTCGGGAACAGAAGCAATGGTAGGGACAAAGTGAACCTATGGTTTACTCTTAAGATGCAAAAGTTTGAATTGCAGAGTTGTATAAAATGATATATAAAGCAAAAAACAACAGAAAATAAGGAAGTGAGCTGAAGAGAGAATGACACACTTGTGGGTTTGACATTTAGTTCTGATTGCAATAATAATGCGAATGATACAGCACTTGTGGCATGCAAAGAGTATGTTACAATTTATTTGGTGTATGTCACACTCCCATATAGACTGCCTCCCAACCAGTGAACTGGGTGCTGAGGGTATAATGATCAGTAGGGTACCCATCATTAAATCAGTACCTTGGTTCATTGACCAATCACAGGCAAGCCCACTGAAGCTGAAGCAATGTGGTTCACTTGCGGTAAGCATTTGGCAGACTTGCCTACCTGCTGGTCGAGTACGGTGCACTCTCTCTGGCTTCTGTTTTGCCCTCTCTCACCGTCGTGTACATTTATTATTCTGTCTGTACATGGTGTACATATTTGTATATAGTGGGTGAAAGGCAAAATATACATTATAGTTTACTGTCGAGTTTGCTCCAATACCCATTACAACCAGGTGTCACAGGCCATTCTTTACCTGTGTTCGTAATAGCACTGAAAGCCATATCTGAAAGGTTTTGTACAGTCACACGTGAAGGAAAGTGACAGCGAAGAACCAGGTAATAACACTAAAGCAGGAAGGAGAGCTGACAAAACATGACCAGCAAAAACAAACAGTACAATGGGCGGGGCTGGAGGGAGCGGACAGGTGTAACATATCGACTTCTTTATTTTTCAACCGATTACGTTCATTTTTGGTGTACTATTAGAAGCTTATATCAAATATCCTGTGCTGGAGTTTTAATCATATCGGCCAAAAAGGAAATGAAATATGCAAAATTTACGAAAAATTGCATTTGGCAGGGGAGTCCTTCTCAGTGGTACTTGGAAAAGTGGTTTTGACACTTGCTGCTGATAGAACACCTCTAATTCCATCACTGTAAGTGTACCTATTCTAAAATAAACCTTATCTTCATGCTAAAAAAAAATAAGTTTCATAACTTTTTTGACATATTGGAAGATGTCGGTTTTGTTGCCCACATAAATCTAAAAATATTTGGGATAGTTCAGAAAGGTACACTCCACCTTGTAAAGCAATCATTCTATGTTTGTTGTGAAAATCAAGTCAATTCAATCATAAATAAAGATGGATTGCCCCTAAATAGGTAAATAAGTTACTTTCGAGATATAGGCCGAAGCGCGCGGCACCCCAGCTGCCCGGGAAATAATTTTTTTCCCCGAAAAATTCGCTTTATTTTACACTTTTTGCGTGACCTACGAGTGTTTATTACAGTTAACCATTGTAAATTCGTTTTCTCTCATCACTTGTAAGAGATAACGAAACGTCAGGGGATACACCGATAGAAATTTTTCCCTCTTGGGCATCATATTATGCTATATATTATTTTTTTTGGTGTGCTTTTTATGTTTATATGCTATTATTATATTGCATTATGTCATAATAGATCAATTGTGATAGATAAATAAGCCTTATAATTGATATTAGCGTGGGTATGGAATATTTATGGAATATTTTGTTGGCTGGAGGTGTCGGCCATTTTGGGTACAATACCCAGGGTACCTGACTGGTTACTTGACCATATTAGCTCCGCCCGCTCGGGCAACGTAGATAAGTATGTTTATGGAGCAACTTGCAATGTGAACAGACTGACTGATGTTGTAGTGGCCAGGCTTAGGCTTGGTTACAAGTACTTCTGGCAGTTTGGGAGACACACAGATGATGATCAAACTAAATGTAAATTATGTGATCAGGCATATGGTCACTGTCTTGAACACTATGTGCTTAATTGTCCACTTATTGAGGAATACAGAGACAGACAGTATAATAACCTATGTGACATGTCAAGATATCTTATTAATGAAAATAAGATACCAGATATACTAAGCAAATTTCCTAAATTTGCTTGTAACAGATAAGTGAACTATAGATATGTAGATATAAATCCATATGTATTCCTGTTAACCCTTTGGGGCCTAGTTCCTAGGCCTTTTGTGTATCCACATGCTCTCGCGCTACCGTCCACAGGATGGATATGGGGTGCACAATAAACTAGCCACTTCGGTGGCAAAATCTAAAATCTAATCCGCTCGGGCATGATCTCAGACAGTGAATTTGTATTATATTAGACATAAAGATATACGAAAACGATAAAAATAACAAGGGGGAAAAACGTAAACAAAGCCGCGTCAGCGCTTCTTACGCAATATGACGCGTCTGCGCTGTCACCATGCCTGTTGTAAATGGCTGTAATTCCTTTTAGAAACATCGTACAAGGATAATAATTATACCAGAGTGTAGCCAGAAAGTTCAGCTATTTTTTGGTAACAATAACTCCATTTTCATATTTTTTCGAATTGTTTTTGCTCCACGCGCGTGAACCTGACCGCTCCCTTGAACTCACAGTCGTAAGACTCCAGACCGATGCGTTAGCCACTGGGCCAGCTGGCTACAATGAGATTCATCCAACTAGGTAGATTTATACACCATAGGAGGTTAGCATAGGCACTAGTGGCTGGCACAGTGGCTAACGCGTCGGTCTGGAGTTTTATGACTCACTGACTGAGTTGAAGCCCTACTCGTGGTATGGTTTGTTTGCAACCATGCCATGATGTTGCCAGTCGTGATGATGGCTTTGAGGGGACCTGAGCTAGAGTTCGTCACGGCTGTACTGGCAGGAGATTCATCTGCAAAAACTTGCATTTGTGGTCACAGTGGTGCCTATGTTAACCTTCCTATGGTGTATAAATATATACCTAATTGGATAAATGTTATTGTAGCCAGCTGGCCCAGTGGCTAACGCATCGGTCTTGAGTTTTACGACTCACTAACCGTGAGTTCATGCCCCGCCCATGGTATAGTTTGTTTGTAATCGTGTCATTACCATTTTGTGACGTTCGTGAGTCATGACCAGTAAGTCTCCGAGGTTTGTCGAAAGGAAATAGGGACATTGCCAGAGTTATCAATACTTAGAGTACACTAAAGAGTACTGGACACAATACACACAACAGGTGTAAAGAAACTACTGAGATAGATACTTTGAAGATAATGGGACAAAACAAAGTTTTTATGGGTACTAAAACAAGGAGCAGTATCATCCTGTGTACTACTAGCTAAAATCTTCAGAAAGTCTGTTGATATAGGTCAGTTATTGGTGATACAGATACCAGAAAATATAATCCCCATATCACTAAATTAGTAGGTAGTAGGTTGGTAGACAGCAACCACCCAGGGAAGTACTACCGTCCTGCCAGATGACTGTGAAACAGAAACCTGTAACTGTTTTGCATGATGGTAGGATTGCTGGTGTCTTTTTCTGTCTCATAAACACGCTAGATAACAGGGATATCTTGCTACTCCAACTTACACTTTGGTCACACTTCACAGACATGCACATGCATATATATATATACATACATCTAGGTTTTTCTCCTTTTTCTACAGAGCTCTTGTTTTTCTTTATTTCTTCTATTGTCCATGGGGAAGTGGAAAAGAATCTTTCCTCCGTATGCCATGCGTGTCCTATGAGGCGACTAAAATGTCGGGAGCAATGGGCTAGTAACCCCTTCTCCTGTAGACATTTACTAAAAAGAGAAGAAGAAAACTTTATAAAACTGGGATGCTTGAATGTGCGTGGATGTAGTGCAGATGACAAGAAACAGATGATTGCTGATGTTATGAATGAAAAGAAGTTGGATGTCCTGGCCCTAAGCGAAACAAAGCTGAAGGGGGTAGGGGAGTTTCGGTGGGGGGAAATAAATGGATTAAATCTGGAGTATCTGAGAGAGTTAGAGCAAAGGAAGGGGTAGCAGTAATGTTGAATGATCAGTTATGGAGGAGAAAAGATAATATGAATGTGTAAATGCAAGAATTATGTGGATTAAAGTAAAGGTTGGATGCGAGAAGTGGGTCATAATAAGCGTGGTATGCACCTGGAGAAGAGAGGAATGCAGAGGAGAGAGAGAGATTTTGGGAGATGTTAAGTGAATGTATAGGAGCCTTTGAACAAGTGAGAGAGTAATTGTGGTAGGGGACCTGAATGCTAAAGTAGGAGAAACTTTTAGAGAGGGTGTTGTAGGTAAGTTTTGGGTGCCAGGTGTAAATGATAATGGGAGCCCTTTGATTGAACTTTGTATAGAAAGGGGTTTAGTTATAGGTAATACATATTTTAAGAAAAAGAGGATAAATAAGTATAAAAGATATGTGTAGGGCGAAATGACAGTAGTTTGTTGGATTATGTATTGGTAGATAAAGACTGTTGAGTAGACTTCAGGATGTACATGTTTATAGAGGGGCCACATATATATCAGATCACTTTCTAGTTGTAGCTACACTGAGAGTAAAAGTAGATGGGATACAAGGAGAATAGAAGCATCAGGGAAGAGAGAGGTGAAGGTTTATAAACTAAAAGAGGAGGCAGTTAGGGAAAGATATAAACAGCTATTGGAGGATAGATGGGCTAATGAGAGCATAGGCAATGGGGTCGAAGAGGTATGGGGTAGGTTTAAAAATGTAGTGTTAGAGTGTTCAGCAGAAGTTTGTGGTTACAGGAAAGTGGGTGCGGGAGGGAAGAGGAGCGATTGGTGGAATGATGATGTAAAGAGAATAGTAAGGGAGAAAAAGTTAGCATATGAGAAGTTTTTACAAAGTAGAAGTGATTGCAAGGAGGGAAGAGTATATGGAGAAAAAGAG